TGATAAGACAGGCCTTCGTGGTGTGGAACTTGCTCAGTTCATAGCGTCGGCCATGGATGGCAGTAGCAAGCTTCCCATTGGTAACAGCGGGGTTGTTGTTTTGGGACCGTTTCAGCTGAAAAAAACAAGCTAGTTATTACTCAATGGGAGAAAAAGGAGCTCTGGATTTCTTTCTCTTTTTACCACAGAGGTAACCTGGTGATGTGGCAGTGTTAACCCTGAAGCATACTGGCAGCACATTCTAGGGCACGGTGACTATACAGATAAGGCTGTTGAGCTGAGGAGCAACATGACCATCGCAAGCCTGCAGGGCGAAGCAGGAGGAGAGCACTGTGTTGCTGACGCCCGAGCTTTGTGTTTGCGGGGCTGCAGCTCGAGCCCTGGTTACCCTCCTGCCCCGGCTGCTGGCCTGCCCAGTGACCCTCTCCTTACTGTCACCTTTGACTCTGGCTCTCGGTGCCATCACCATGGTGTTGGTGTCGCCTTTGCAAGTCACAGCTGCTTAACACATTGCACGTTAGCTGCCGTGTTTGCGGGGCTCTGTTTGCCCTCCTGATTCGGCTGCAGCGAGCTGCGCGTGGTGCCGCGCTGCACGCAGAGCCCGCTGCACCTCTGCTCTGCTGCCGCGAGTGCAGGCCAAGAGCAGCGTGTCCCGTGGCCTGTGGATTTTCTTTCAAAATGTTAAAATACTGCAGAGTGCTTTGTAACTCCGTCCCATCAGATGCAGTAACACAAAATAAGGGGACAGCTAATAGACAAGAATGGCAGAGGTCAGAGGAATAAAAGAGGACAGTGAGTAGTCTTTGAACACGAAAAATATATTTTCAAGTCCCTAAGACGTGATAAAATTTGCCTAAGCACCTGTGGATAAATCAAGACATAGTACACGCATTTGTCAGAGTGACCCCAAAACCCACAATTACTATGTTCAATCTGTGCAAGACCAGTCGGGCTCTGAGCTCGAAATGTGACTGCTCCACGTGGAAGAGTTAGAAGTTGTATCCTGCCCACCTCAGCAGTGCTTCTCATCCCTTCTTGCCCAAGAGAAGGGTTCGTCAGGAGCGTTTTTACCTGCTCGAAAATGCCAGTTGTGGAGACGTTAATATGGGACCTTGTGTTGTCAGCTCATGTTTCGAGTTATGACACCGTTGACAGGATGGTTTATGATGTCGGGAGACTTTTCACCCTGCAGTGAGTATTTCTGCGAAGGTTCCCAGCCCCGTGCGACAGCACCTGTCAGCGGGGCCATAGAGCAGCACTGCCGACAGGCAGCTTTGTTTTCCCCACACATCTGCCAAGAAGCTCCTCTCCATATTACCTGTAATAGCTGTGGTTTACTCAAAAACCTGCTCTTTAACAAAGTTAGTTAAGTGTTCGGTTAAATTTTGACAACATTTCACATTATATTAATTGCATTTCTCTAATTACTACCGTCTGGAAGTTTTATTCAGAAAACCTTCTTGGCAGTAATCCTTTTGGTTAGATAAAATGGGTGCAACTGTGAAATAAAGTGAAAAAGAAGCTAGAATAAGATTGTTGGAAGAAGTAGAAATCCTGAAGAACTGCAATGAAATTGTATGAGCCCTTGGCATGGGAGGTCTTAACTCCGAAAGTGTCTGTCCACCGTCCACCAGCACGTCCATCCACAGACAGCCTCCCGCTGTTCTGACCGGCACCCAGGGACAATTATGTGCTTTTCTTTGCTATTATATTATATTATATTATATTATATTATATTATATTATATTATATTATATTATATTATATTATATTATATTCAGCAAACACAAGTGGTTATGGTCCCAGATTTCAACTTAACTTTGCTAGTTTTATAAACAGAGCAGCAAAGTTGCTCCACATAATATATGCAAAATAAAAATAATAAAAATAGTACACATATAAGGGCTAGCATTATATCTGTTTATCATTTATATTTCAGTTATGCCTAGAGGCTGTAATCTGTTATGCCCCATTTTTTAACTACATAAATTACCTGTTATTCATTTTTAAGATCACTGCTTTCTGAACAAGGTAGATGGTAGTCAAGGCAGAATGCTACCCTAAAAAAAAAAAAAAAAAAAAAAAAAAAAAAAAAAAAGAGATGCTCTTTATTCTCTAGCTTTGGGGCCAAAATTGCTGGCTTTTTCTCTGCCACAGTCACCACTGATTGATGCTCCGGACTTCCATCATGGTGGAATGAAGCTTGCCCCTAGAGGCATCAGTACGGAATTTCTTGGAGTGTTTGATGTAGAATCCTTAAAATTATTTTATGCAAATCTGTAGTTGTTTAAGCAAATCTAATAGATCTTTAGCCAACCAGAAAATCTCTTAACTAATATTAATAATGGAGCTTTGAATTAAGAACTGTGAGTTCCTTCCTTGCCTGGAGCAAGGGGCTGGAGATACCAGGAAAGCAAAGCTGTTTCAGTGCGCTTGATATGAGACAAGGCTTGATATGAGAAAGGTTGATATGAGACAACCTTTTCCTTTAAATCAGACTATATGTTTTTTTTTCCAAAGAAGCAGATGAGAAGTGGGCTGGAGTGAAAAGAAAGGAGGAACTAAATGGTGAAGAGTGAAGAAGTTAAGAGCAGAAGTGTGTATTAGCACACTCAGTCTTTTAATCCCACTGAGGGCAATGGAAATACTTAACAGTTTCTTGAGGAACATGTTAAGCCTGTGCTATCCTGGTGGTTCTTATATTGGAAGAAGTCAAACCAGTGTTATGCCTTACACTCTGCTTGTTTTTCCCAACATATCTGCACTGCTGTTAGTTATTCCTTTGGATATTCCTGCAGCCTTGGTGGTCATGGACCCAGACTGTGAGCTGTGCTCTTTCTGTCCTGCATTTATAGGATGCAGGGCAGCACTTGGCAGAAAGCCCTTGTGGGACAGCCCAGGCAAGGGAGAATCTTCAGCAACCACACGATGCTGCAGTTGCCGTCAGATGGGTGTTGAGATAGGTGTTGCTTGGAAAATTTTGTTCTGAAATAGCATCCATTCAGTGATATGTTTCATGCAAATTTGTTCAGTCTTATTCTAGAGGCTTCTGATATGGATTTTATTTGAAAAAAGAAATAGGATAAATGGCATATAGTAAACCCTAGGAGATTTATGATAGTGTTTTAGGAACTGAGCCATTATGTACCTCGTGGGACACAAAAGGGTCCGTCCTGGTGATCTGGTCATTCCAAAGTGGTCACAGCCCTGCTGGGGAGGAAGACACGGGGCAGGGATCTTGCCTTCTTCTCCAGGCCCTGCACAGCTGGTGTTTTTCGTTGGGTCCCAGCATCTCCCAAGGAGCAGGAGAGGCAGGAGGCGGCCCTGGGGTGATGGGCCGGGGGCCGCGTTCCTCCAAGCCACACGCATCCTGGCCCGGGGAAGGATGTGGGGTGCAAAAAGCAGGATTTGACGCACTTCAGCACATTCAGTTGTTAATGACCGATCATTAGGCCTGGCTAACTTTTGCAGCATCTATTTTCATCTCTATCTGGGCCTTTAGAAATCCGATCTGCCGGCGGTGTTTGTAAACTACAGTAACTTCTTGACTGGGTGATCCGCACTAAGGACCTTGAAAAATTGGCAGTAGCTCTTGCCCTGTGAAAACACTGAGATTGATAAAGCAATTGATAAATACTGTTTTGCAGAATAAAGCCTCTTGAATTAAATGCTCGAACACGTATTGTAACAGATCGTTCCAGTTACAGAGCATCATACTCTGAAAGCTGTATGGTTGCTGCTGTGAAGGAGAGATTATGTGAAATGTAGTTGATCCTGATAGCTTCTGTCATAAAAAAAGTAGCCTGTGTTGTATGGGGATCTTGAGTAACTAAAGTGAGAGTTTACCAGAAAAAGTCAATCCTTAAATTGCAGACAAAGAGCCTCCTCAGGCAGCCCTATTGCATCATCAGGGTATCTCACAGGCGGTCAGAAATGAGCTGTACTTCTGCATGTCAGTGAAGCAGCAAATTGAATTCTCATAATATGTTTTGAAGATGAGTCTTGTTAGGTTTGATGAGGTGGAAAAGGAAGCGCGATCGCTGGCTGTTGGCGCGCACTGCCCTTGGCTCCACGCCACGGCTAATCTTGCTAATGGCAGCACGCTTGCAAAGCCGTGCGGCGGCGGTGGCCTCGCGTCCCCGCCTCGAGCAGCGCCCAGACACGTGCTGGGCAAGCGCGTCTTGGGACTCAAAGCTCGTTTGTGGCAATCCCAGAGCCTCCTCTTAACATACGTACTGGAAAACAAATGCAGCCATTCCTGAATGCGTTCAGCAATGAGCAGAATAAAATGCAAATGTCTTTAGTTTAAGTACACACACACTTATACATATACATATATGTATACAATATGTACAAACCTAACACTTTAGCACTTTTTATAATTTTTTGTTCCAAATGTCTTTACAAAACACACCGTCATTGGTTTTGCTTCCTCCACTTCATTTTCCACACCCACCTTGCTAATTCCTTGGAAATCTGTAGCCATTACTTCCCTTAGAGAAAAGCCTATCTTCTTGCCAGGTCTCCCTCACTGTCACCATGGGCATCCTGTGCAGACCAGCTTGGTGTCCAGCTGAGGAGATGCCAGTGCACTGCACAGAGCCCGCTAGAAAACACCTGTTACCTAGGCCTCCTGTTTCACCTTCTGCCGTCGTCGTGTCCAGTAACCAGCTGTGCACTTGAGTTGTGTTGAACTGATTCTTATATTTCCATATATAAATATTTGTTGCTTTTACACACTTGCACACACAAAAAATGAGAGGTGAGAGTTTTGAAACATGTACACGTCTTAATATGTTAGTTTGAAGTAGGATTGTAGGGAAAAGAAATAGGGCTAGACGATTTCATGAGACAGAAAAGAGAAGATAAAGGGAAATAAGTATGAAAGAGGTACTGAAAAACAGCTGCTTCCTTCTAATTCAGTTTTTAAGCTGGCATTGCTGTTTGAACTTGTGGCATTGGGGTGGTTGCTGACGGCCACAATTCTGATCTGTTCCCAGTTACCCATACAGTGAAGACTCCAGCCAGGGAAAGCAGTACATGAACACCAGATGTCCAGCATGGTGTGACAGGATTTTGATGTCACACTCCGCCAAGGAGCTCATCCTCAAGGTGAGCACAGCCCGGCACCCTCCCCGCTTCCTCCTGGCGCTCCTGTGTTCGGCAGAGGCAGGTTGGGCTGGGAGCAGAGCCCGTGAGGCAGCCCTTGGCTCCCGGCCCTTGAGCAGGGTAGGTCCAGCTTCCCTCCGGTTTTGGTGGTGAGAGCTGTGCCTTGCCCGGGGATGCCTGGGATCCCAAATGGGCCAAAGCTCCCCTGCAGAAACCTCTCTTGCCATCAGCTGACAAGGGAGTCTGCAGCAGGAGGGCTTGTCACCTCAGCACCTCGGTTACATGCCCAAGTTTGGACATTCTTTTACAGTTTCATAAATATTTTGCAATTCTTTCAGCATCTGTGGTTCCTCTGGGGATCCTAGTGCTCACAGATTTGGTTAACTTGGCAATGGTATAGCCATGCTTAAGTGATGGGGATGCAGTTCAGGAGCCTTCCAGTTTTCTTCTCCTGTCTGCTCCTCTCCACGTTCTGCTCTCCTTAGAAACACTGAAGTGAGTGAACCAGTTATGCAGCACAGCATGTGTTGTGCTGCTTTTCCTCTGTGCTCAGTCGTGGCACTAGAGACCTGTCCCTCTTGCACTGGCAACCAGTATCCTAGAGGTCCTAGGAGCACATCAGGGAAGCAGAGCATGATACAGGGAGGTCACCCTGCCTTTCTGCTCTGAGCTCAGGATTCCCGGGCAAGGTTGCATGTGCTGTAGCATTTCAGCACTGTTGCTCCGAGGCTGTCATCCCCTCACATTGCCCAGCTGCCTCGTGCTTACTGCATTCCTGATCGTGAGAATTGTATTCTCTAAAGCTGCCCTAGGGGCATCTGACGTGTTGTCTGGGTTTCCCTGCATAGCTAATACCGCTTAACATGAGTTATTGCAAACAGTCTTTGCAAATAAAATCATATTCTACAGCTTCATGGCATTCCTTTTCTGTTTAACATAAAGAAACCCTCAAAACGTGTTTTTCTGGAGTTTGTAACCTTCTCCCTCTCTCTCTCATCAGAGTTATTTATCTCATGATTAGACTGTTTGCTTTGCAGTATGTAACTGACTGAAGGACTGAGAACATTTTTTTCCGTAACTACTCGAGTTTCAGTCCAGTGCACTTCCTCCCACATTTTCTTGTAGGGGGTCTTCATGGTATCCTGAAGGTTCCACCAAAATTTTGGGTGGGAAGATTTGGCCCTTTAGCACGTGAAGCATGGATTTTGAAGCTTGCAGCTGGGCCTGTGAACTGCAGCACGGGCCGTGTGTTGACCTCTGGAGATGAAAATTTGGAATAACATCTCAAGCGCTTTTGCATCCTTCTTTGACAAAATGGGCCATGTAATTCATCCAAAAATAATAAGTAAAAAATTATAACTAACCTGGACCTGCTGCCTCTCTGGGAGCAAAACAGAGGTCTTCTTGGTGATGCCCAAGGCCTGGAGTGTGCTCAGGAGCTCCCTGCCCCGGCCGCCTGCACTGCTTTATGTCTGAATGGGCCTCGTGTTGGAGTAGAGTGGCTTTTTAATTAAATGATTGCCATTTTATTCATCTTTTTTTTTTTTAATCATCGTGAGAGGAAGGTAAAGGAAACATTATGCTGATTGATATACAACAATTACATTGTGTAATACAGCCAAACAATGCATGCATTACGCTGTTTGATGAAAAAACATGGTGAAGCCAACAGCCTTTCAGTAAGAGCAGTGATGTCAAGATCAATGTTACTTGATCTCATGTAGGAGAAATACCATAAGCAAAAGTGAGGCTGTCCCCCAAAATATTACAGGTTGCACTCAGCGACGTGGAATTCCTGGAGAACAAAGGATTAAAACCATGGAAAGAGTGACCAATGAGGGCAGGTTTCCCTTCACAGCCATGAATAAGGAGATAGAAGGGTACACAAAGGCTGGAGCAGTGTAAACAGCGCCAAGGGAAAGGAATTCTTTTTGATTATCTGCAGGGGTATAACTTGGATATAATGGGAGAAAATTAAACACAGGAAAACAAAGAGAGCGCGCTAAAGAAATTCCCAGTCACAAGGTCAGTTAGTCCAGTGCCTCCTCTCCAAGGAAGGGAAGCCTAGATGCTTGTATCATTCAAAACATTTTTATAAGTGTGTATGATTTGATCCTGCAGTTTGGGGCATCTCCAGAGCCGGGCATACAAAACTGTAGATGGAAAGGGGGCCAAATCTGCGTTTAACTGACGGAACTTCTACATGAGTGAAGGAGTTAACTCCTCTTATTCAACTCAAAAATGAAATTCTGGCCCATTCAAAAACTTAATGAAAATATTCAGTGGGAAAAAAATATTGACCTGATAGAGGAAATGGAAAAATGACCTTGTTATTTTTTGTGTGATTTTTATACAGTAAGCCATATATGCCTTACCTTTGAGAACTTACTACAGAAGCTTGTGCTTTCAACCTTCAAAAAAAAAAAGTTATGAGACTGACAGCACATTTTAATTAACTGATCACAGTATAACAAAGTTGAAATGTCCATCCACTTTTTAAAGAATTTTTGTTGTAGCTAGCAATTGAAAATTGTTATGCATGTAATTATTTGGCCATATTCATCCTTCTTATAGGCAGCTGAATAATTTATTTTTCTGTCTCAGGAAATCTGTGTTTTATTTCAAAGGAAAAATGCAGTAAGTCTGCATTTTTAGTCCCACTTAAAGAAAGGAGAGCACCAATTGCAGCAGTGCGCGTGGAGCTGCACGCGCGGCATTGCAGATTGTACAGACATGGGGCTGTAAACAGCTTTCATGCAACATCATCTATCATGCTACGGTCGGTTACCTCACCAGCATGTTATTTTATGCTTCCTGAGCCCTAAAACACCAAAGGTTGCCCACTGCTAGGGAGCCGCGGTGCTGCCTGGCACTGCGAAGTAATGAATGCGCAGCCGAGTGTGCATTGTTTCTGCTTGTGCACCGCTGTAATTTGTTTATCTGTCTAAAGATTATGCAGTTGAAAATCCACAATTTTATTCTGCCTTTGTAAATTATCAAGTCGCTTTTGATGAATGTATCCTCACTTCCAAAGCTAGTGGCATTATAATCTTGAAATATTGGAAAGTGCTCATGCATACGACGCAGAAGGTTATGTTTTTATATTTTTGGCAGACAACCACACTATAAAGTAAATCTGACCTTAAGCTTCCTTACTACATTAAAGATAATTCAGTTTTAACTTTATAGTCCTAAATGCTGCTGTTTATAGAAAGTTATTGCCCAGTCAAACTTGAACGATTACAGATGAGAAAGTCTTGACTGTTTCAGACAAAATAAATTAGTATTGCAAACTAAAGCACATCTGTGATTGTGTTAGAGACTTGGGATGTGCAGATCCTAGATTTAATTAGGTATAGGAATTATTTAGCATAACAAGAAATTGCCTTGTGTGCCTAAGTATTTGTATTTATTCCTGGAGTACTGCATTAGAGAAACAAAACAGATTGTAAAAGTCACGTATTTATTGCAAATGTCAGGAAAATGAGTACATTTTATTATTCATTAAGCTACAAATGCTAAAGAAGTCAGTGTTTTGAGGATAAACTTTGGTGTGGAACAAAATGAAGGCAATTCATATTGTAAGCTGGAGGAATGTCATCTTTCATTTGATGCTGATTTTCTTAAAATCCTTAATGCTCTTTTCAGATGAAGGAATGCCTCTCCTAGGAATGATAAAAGATTGCGGCCATAAACTGTAGACATTGCATTCATGTCTCTGACCATTTAACATAACCTGTATGAGGGAAGAAAATAACCTTACATGGCAATATGGATTACATTTTATTCAAAGAAAGCACATATCCCACATAATTTAGTAAAAATTCATTGTTGTTAAAAAAAAGGATTGTGTCAAAACCAATAGATACAAAAGATTTGAATGCAGCCATAAATGACAACAACGTCACTAAAAGTTTTTAAGTTCGCAGAAGCAGGGAGTAGCCGCAGTGATTTCATCATCTGTTTTATGTGAACAAAATGCACAAGTTACTGAAAGCAGAACTGGATGAGAAAATTCATTGTGTGTGGTTTTTCTCCAGAGACACCAGGCAAAGGTCTTAATATGCCCCCATTTAGAAACCATTTTCAGCTATTTACATAAATTATTTCTGTATTTCTTTCTATTTCTGTAACCTGGAGCATACTTGAACTCTGACTATCTCCTCTTTTTTTCTTTCTTTTAATTAGTCAGAAAATGATGAGAAGATAGTAATATATGACCACATTGGGCCAAATGTCTGCATGGGGGATCACAAGGTAATTAAATGTTACAGCATTAAATTTACTAAGTTTGATTAGGAAGGAGAATGTTTGCACTAGTTTCTGCTATTTTTATATTTAAGCATATTAAAAGTTCATTTTAAATTTACAGCTCAGCCTTTGAAATGTTTGAAAAAGTTGATTCTACTGAAATCAGTACAATGTGTTGAGAGTATATAGTGTGTGATACCAAATAAAGCACAGGATGATGTGAGCTAGCCGTGAGACAGGACACAACCAAAAACGAATAGGAAGAGCTGAGTGTACCCTTAAAGCAATTTCCATGAAGCATAGTATTTGCAATGGGTTGTCAAAAGTGCTTCCAGCGTACAATTTTAATTAATATTGTGCCTGGCTGATTGCTATTTAAGTAATATATTGGCCATTCCAATGGGGTAACAAAAAGAATATTGGTTTATGTAAACATCATATGAAATGAATTTTACAAATGGTATTTTATGCTGAAGGTGTCATACTAAATCTAAATTGGAAATTAAGCAAAATTTGGTATTTGGTTTCTCAGGAAAAAAAACAGCAAAGGGGCAAGAGGTGGCCTCCAAAAGCACTTACAGCGTTTTATGGTTTATATCTATTCAAAAGTCACCTAGAAACTTGCAAAAACTTGCCAACCGTGCAGCAATTGTAACCCATCCATCCCAGAGGCTGTGCTACAGCTCTTGAAAAAGAGCTCAGTGACGGATCACGTGCGTTTAAATACTCGCGCTGGGATGCACAAATCAAAATTTACACCAGTATGCACATATTTACGTGGGCCGTCAGAGTTCTCGGGCCCTGGGGATGGCTTTTCCGAGGAGGTGCTGCAGAGCAGCGCTGGCACCAGGAGCCCTGTGCGGCCCGGGCCCCATCCCCGCTGCCCTCCTGGGCGCAGAGCGGAGCCACGCGCGGCCGCCGCACCTCCAGCGGGCCAGGGCACTAGCACCGCGGCTAGAGAGGAGCTTTTGTCCTGTTTATCTGGCTAAAGGGGAGGTTTTGTCCTGTTTATTACAGATTGTAAAATAAATGTTTGCCTTTCCCACATGTAACTTCTGTTTTTCCCTACCTTGCTGCAGCCCGTGTTCCTGTCCTTTCGAATAGCCGCAGGGGCAGGTAAACCTATTGCAAATGTGCACAAGTGTTGTGTCGTGCAGTGATGTGGTGGTAAATATCAATTTTTTTCCCTTTCTGTTTGCATTTTCTATATCATTTCCCCTGTGTTTATTTTTCCTTTTTTTAAAAAAAAATGCCAATTCCGCAACAGGAAAAAGATGCCTGCGGAATGAGAAGATTTTCCGTGCAACCACACTGTAGCAAGGAGGGAAGGGAAGCGCAGCATACCGAGATACACAACCACAACAGCCGTGCTGGTAAATCGAGTGCCACATTTTAGACTGCTGATCGTACACTATGCTTCAGCATCCGGACTCTTGGAGAGAAGCCTCACATACCTCACTGTCTTGTATGTTCATGTGACATCGAGTAGAAATGTGGAATTATTTTTTATATATATGTCACGATTCTGTTGCCAAAACTCTAAGTAGACAGCAGAGATGTTATGTATTTTAGATTTCACAACTTTCAACTTTTAATAAGTGTTTGTCAATGTGGAAAAGCTACTTCAGCATATTATAGACTTTTAAAGGTGTCATGCCTAACATTATATATCTTTACCACTTCGGGGTTTTGTACATTGGATTGTATAGATAGAGATATCGATGGTTTTAAATGGTGTTGTCTTTGTTTTGACCAAGGCTTATGGTTTGTGTTTTAATTTTTAGTATTTTGTTTTTCATTTTTATAGATTTTTTTTTCTCATGTTATTTACTATACTGCCATGTTACATGGTTTTTTGAATCACACAGCAGCTGCTTTCTATACATACATATATATGTGTGTGTATATATATGTATGTATGTGTGTATATATACACAGATATATAAATAATTTATAAACCTGACCAAAACTTACGCTAAATATACTTTCCAATATGAATGCTTGAGTGCCATATCAGCAGTTAGTGTTGGAGCCTTAGCAGGTTTAGTTAATTGTATATCAACAAATAACATTTATATATTACCAATAATATATAGCAGTGCCATTCTGGATACAGATATATAGCATACTATATAGCACATATATTAGTAGTTTCACTTTGTTACTCCTATAATCCCTTCTTTCTATGTAATATTAAGGTTTGAATGTGAAGTTCTTAGGTAGGTTTGGGTGTAACTTTCAAGAATTTTGTAAACCGTTTTTTTGTCTGTCTTTTGTTACTGTTTTATGGTGCCAAGTATTCTATATTAAAACAATAACAACACGGGAGAAGAAAATAATAGTCTGCTTTAGGTAGCAACTGCATTGGACACAAGCTGTATTTATACAGTGTTAAAGAAAGAAAAAAAATAGAAAAGAAAAAAAAAAGTGTGTATTTTTTCCGGGTTAGTAGCCCAGTGCAACCTACAATATAATCTCATTACGAACATTTTTCTCCCACCACTAAATACAACATTAAAAGGTGATTAGAGAGTCTGTTGATGAAACACAAATGTATGTTTTATTGATTTAATTTAGAACACTACAGAGTTCATGGACTGTGTGCTGGCATTAGATTGATGCTTGATTTTGGTGTAAATCACTACGGTTGGAAGGCGGGAGCGCTGCTCGTGGCCTGGACCCCCATCCAGGCGGCGGAGCCTGTGACGACCCCGACTCCCGGAAGCGCCCCAGGCCTTCAGCGACGAGTGCTCTGGTTCTCAAGCAATAAAACTGATCATGGTGAACCCGGCTGCCTCTGTCCCTTTCCTTCGGGCTCGGGGGATCAACGGGAAACTGCTAAATTGTGAAAACTCACAGTTTTAACATTTCTTAACTTTGGATCTCCTGTAAATTAACAGGACTGCTTTTTGTGTAAAACACGGGTACTCAAATGCACATCTAAGTGTAAACCAGAAATGATACAAAACCCAAAAAGGGCAGTGGAAAGTTGGTATTAGAATAGCTAAATGTTAATACACAGAGTTATTACTACAGTTTTCCAGTTATTTGTGTGCTGCCGGCCTCCAGTTGCTCGGTAAATACGCCAGGATCTACATCTCGGTGATTAGCTCCGGTTAGAGAAAAACTGCTGCCTTTTTAAAACTCATTTATAGATAAAATCACCAGAGCTATAAACTGCCAGCCCATAAACAGGCATAATTCAAGGAAAGGAATTAGTTACACAAGAGACCTGTCATGGTATCTGTTGAGCCAGAGGGAAGTCGAATTTAACTCGCAGCACACAG